AAAAAACATGAAGGTAGAATCTTTCTTGATACAGACTGTGGACCAGAGAACTACAATGCAACCATCCCATAAGCTATGTTACCAAGAGCTAGACTACTTCAGCTGTACACGAGAGATTTTGTAGTATTCTTCCTCACTTGTTTGTTCTGTAGAACAACTAATTAATTACTTAAGCTTTAGTAGCAGCACTTATAACTAGAATAAGTAACCACCACAGTGAATTGAGTACAGCGTGGTCAAACTATACAGAAAACTTTATATTGAGCTCTAGAATACTTCATGCTATAGCAAAGGTCAACATTCTTTACAGGATCTTGCCCTCAAGTACCATTAAGTTTATTCAAACCTGAAGACAGTTAGGTGCTATTTAAAAACAAAAAACCCCAAACCTGGCATCCTATATATGTAAAAATTTCTGAAACAAGAGATTTGAGACCCATTCCCTCTCACATGCCTAAAACATATCAAACACCCAGAAGCTAAAATCCCACAAGAAGTATGCTTCTAATTAAGGTGAGTTACCAAATCTTACCTTCTCCCCTTTTTCTTTTGAGACTTGTCTTTTTTCATTCATATCACATTTGTTACCCAAGATCATTCTTTCTACATCTGAAGAGGCATGCTGGAAGAAGAAAAAGTAATCTCTCAGGAACAAAGTGCATTATTGTTGAAAAGAAACTTGTGTGTCAAACTCGTCCACAATAGACTATTTTATTTTAGAGAAATTATCTAATATGAAGGCATTACTGAGAGAGGCTGACTCTTGAAACAAGCAATTAAAATATTAAAATAGGCTGGAATAAATACCCCTAGATTACATTTGCCCATGTACTGTAACAGATCAAATGTGTGCCATGAGCTCTGTAGCAGGCTGCACACATGCACAGGCATTTGGCTGCTCTGGAAATGTGACAGGAGGCACTTTACCCCTAAGTGGTGCATGGCCATATATGCTGGCTACTGCAATGGAAGTGAGTAATTACTTGATTTTTATTTGTCCCAGGGAAATCATAAGATGGAACAAAGCACTTACCTCTTCTATGTTTCTTATCCAATTTTTTATGTTGTCAAAAGACTTTTCATTTGTGATGTCATACACCAGCATAATTCCCTAAATAAAGTTAGGAAAATCTAGTTAGATGAGCTAGTACTATTGGCTGACTTTTGATGTATGCTGTAGTTTTAATTATAGTTAAAAAAAAATTCAACACTGGATTATAGGTAAGTCTTTTCTCAAGGCATTATCCCAAGGCTTGGAATTTACCCACAACATTACTATTTAACATTTTTTGCCACTGATAGAGGTTAAACACTCCACATATACAAAGCTTTCAATTATTAGCCTACAGTCAGGGCAAGTTTAGAAATTCTACCACACCAGCCACCAGGATCTCTGGTTAAAGTCACATTTAGATGCAGCAGCTTTAAGCAGTCCAGGATACCAAACCTGTCAGCTCCAATCAGCAGAAGCTTTTACCCCTGGGGCTCTCCCAGAAGCTTTAGCTCTTTCCAGCAATTCTGTACATACACTGGCATGGGATTTCAACAGTTAGCAAAGCATGGGAAACCAGAGAGCCACTGCATTGAGGACAGACTGCAAGGTTCACCTCCATTTCCTAGGGCCTTTCCAATCATTCCCCATAGGACAAATAGAAGTCCTTGGCCATGGACTGGGGAGAAGACCAGGTCAGTGAAAAAGCCTTTTTAAGCACTGGAGAGCTCTAATACAGTGCCACAACCATTATTATTTCTCCCTGTGCTCTGTGACAGTGGAGTTATTTGGACCCACAGCCTATGAATGCCACAGATCTCTTCATACAAAGCAGAAAGAACCTCAAACAGCAGCACAGGGAGTAACCACCAAGTCAAAATTAAAGGTGTCCCAACATAAAATATCTCAAATCATAGCATTAAGAACCATTACAAGCATTGTACCACAAGGGTGCAGGCTTTAAGTCAATTATTTGACTTCAAGTCACTCTCAATGGAGGAAAACATAACAGTAGGTGTTGCAAGTGATTGTATTTC